CTGAATGAAGAAAGCAGTGATTGGAGTACGTTTGATAGAGCAAATTATACATTTTCCAAGATGGTATAGAAATCAGAGGTGATCAATCCATCTTCAAAATATTTTAGGTAACTCTAGCCCACATTTATTCCAGTCCATGTTGGCAAACATGTGCACGCTCTATCTTTCCTTGTAATGTTAATTCCATTTTATTTTAAGGACATGGTTGGTTACATTAAATTCCAGTTTTAATTCCAAGTATTCCTTCTCATGTTCTTGGTCTACTCTTTGAACCCAGGCAGTCAACAAATACATTTTGATTATCTGTTATGTGCCAAAGACTATGCTCAGGGTACAAAGATAAGTAAGACGTGGGTGCCTACTGGGAGGGGAGGGAAGGAGGAGGCAGCGGAAGGGAGGCAGGCCCAAAGTCAAGCTCCCTGCTTGGGGACAGGATGAAGTGTAAACAAGCAGCAACAAAGAAGAGCCGTACCCTTCCTAACTGTGGGGGAGGAACGCTGCAAACAAAACTAAGCCAAAGATACATCTGGGCCACTGTTGTCATTCTCCTGCTCCTAAATCTCAAGCTCCTCAGTACTAATAACAAGTAAAGGAGATGTGATGGGTTTCATCTCCACTGCCTAGTATTCTCTGATAAAAATACTTATAAGGAGCTAGGGAAACCACAACGGTTTTAACAGATTGCTAATCCACACCCCATTAGGCATTCTTTTGAAAACCCCTCCTCTTCTGCAGAGCAGACCGGAACCCAAGGCCACGAGACGCAGACCACTCTGCTGGGCAACGCTGGAACGGACAGAGAGATGACGTGACCCCACTCCCTCATCTCACAAGTGGGAAGTGGGTTCTCGGAGACGAGTGATTTGTCCAAGGTCACACAACTAGTTAGTGGCCACTAACCAGTTAGAGCCACTGCAGCTTGGATATATGCTTCCCTAATCTAATTCTCAGTGCAGTCCTGTAGCCTTGATATTAAGCGCAGCACTGGATATACCCTGAAAACAGTGAGAGCCCATGGGAATAAGAACAACGTTAAAAAGTCATGATTAAGAGTGAAAAGTAACCCCCGAGAAAACCTCAACATTCTCCTCTGTGTTTCCCCACTGCTCCCTCTCCGTCCTCAGTTCCAACTTCCTATTCTACTCGAAAACTCATCACCCTCTCAATCTGCCAAAGCATGAAAGACTTCTATTTAAAAATACCACTTGGATCCTGAAAACAGGATGGCCTCCTTGGCATCATCCTATTCCTGTACCTCGGTTAAACCATGAGTAAAAAACACGTAAAAAATGCCTCCCTCTTTGAATGAAGTGTGAGGCAACCAATCGCTACGTGGTGCTGAAGACGGTGGAGCCGAGGAAGCTCATGGTTTATTTATCCTATAGCCTCAGGAAACGCGAGGCCCGTGCAATTAATTTTAATAATTTCTCACGCGCCGGTTTTTTGAGGCACCAGGTCAACTGCATGCAGCCGGCTGTGCCAGACGACACAAACGCCAAGACAAAGGCACAGTTCAACTGGGCCAAATGCCCCCCTTTCTCAGAAGCCCCCTTCAACGTGAAAGCTTCCCCACGTGCCAGTTTTACGTTTGCTGTGGCTCACACACACGGAGGAAATTTCAGAGGACAGTAAAGCAGGAAAAGGACTACGTGGCATCGAACAAAAGGCACGTCTGCTCTTCTGCTTTGATTCTGGTCCTTCGTAAATGAGTCTGTAACACCCGGCCTGAGCGCGGGGACAGAAGGAGGAGCCTGGCAGGCTTCTTCCCTAGTCCCTTAGGGTTTGTTAATCTCCTTACGCTCTCTTCCAAGGTAATATTCAAATCAGCTACACAGCTCAATTTACTTCACTTGGGACTCTAATTGAATAAATCTAAAATAACAACAGACACACTGGCCCAGAGCCTTGGCCAAATTTTTCCTTGGATACTTAAGGCACATTCTGGCTGTTTTACTTCTGCCTGAAAGCAGGGAAAGGCACTCTGGTCCAGTCCCCAGTTCCACACCAGGGGCAGGATGACTGCCCTTCGCTGTTTCAGAGGTGGCTAATAGTTACTGCGGCGTGAACGGTTTCCAGGATAACCTAGGAAGAGCTTAAGCATCCTTGAAGGTGGAAAGGATGTCTTACCCAAGTCAACTAGTAAGTTTTTAAAGCAACGATATTTGGTAAGGTCCCATTCTGTGCCTACATGTCACTTTCTTCAGAAATCATAAGATCTGGGTCAACTATGGGGGTTCATTTGGTCTATTTTCTCAGTTACATTAAGGTGAGCCCTTGATCATCCTGTATTTGTAGCTATTCCCATTTGTAAACATATTCAGAGAATGACAGTACAGTCAACCTGCCACTCATTCGAGCTTCTCTCAATTCTTTTGCAAAGGATAAGAATTTAAAAAACTGTATTATTATCTACTGGGACGAGGAATTCAGGGTGAAGCCTTAGGAACATCATAAGATAAAATGAACCACTGATAATGAGTTTAAATCTGGTAGATGAAGACAAACCATGAGAGACGATGGACTCTGAAAAACAAACTGAGGGTTCTAGAGGGGAGGGGGGTGGGAGGATGGGTTAGCCTGGTGATGGGTATTGAGGAGGGCACGTTCTGCATGGAGCACTGGGTGTTATGCACAAACAATGAATCATGGAACACTACATCAAAAACTAATGATGTAATGTATGGTGATTAACATAACAATAAAAAAATTTTTAAAAAGCACACACACACACACACAACAGAGAGTATGTTTGACTAGAAGGCCAGGTATAAGCTATATTGCATGAGCTCAATAAAGATTCCCCATTTTTAACATGAATACAGAACCTGCACCTTACCATATAGTTAGGGATATGGTTGTTAGCAAAATCTTTTTGAAGAAATAACAATTACAAGTGACATATCTAATATTTATTTTCCTTATTTTTAATCAATATCTTAATAAGGTTTCTTTAAATGACTGGGTACTTGCCCTCCTTCACGCCTGTTCTCAAAACAATACATATAAATAAAATAAAATAATAAAGATAAGCATTTTCACATAAAAAAACCCCCAAAAACTGGTATATCAAACCGTGGCCCTCCAAGCTTTTCTCTGGGGAGAGCATCACCTAGCGAGGATGTTTTTAAGGAAATCACATGCTAAGCACACTGAGAGGCTTTTAAAGATCACATGTGTAGAAATGCTGACATTCTTTCAGCTATTTGAAGACAAGGGTTAAAAGGAATCAGTGCACACAACTGTCAGCTCTCAAAGAAAGGAAGGAGCAGCCCCAAGGGTGGCTGTGTTGTGGCTAAATGGTGATCTCACTGGGGAGGGAGCCTCTGTCTTACTGGCAAACGTGGGGAACCTTCTCCACCTGAGCATTGCCCTATGGCAGGATGGTCATCAGAGTGAACGTTCCTGCTTCTCAGTGTGCGGGTATTTTCATTATATGTTCACCATATATTCTTAAGAGTTCGGAAACTCTCATGGGTTCAGTAAATGCCCAGCAAACACTTTGGGCCAAAGACTTCTTCTCTCCTCGACAGACCAACGGGTCTTCAGCTTCTCAATACTACTACCACGTACTCGATCCTAGCCTCTTCTTAAGTTTTTCTTTCACTGGTAGAATTATTCCAAGTGTATGATTCCCTTTTCCAGGTCCCTGCCTCTCACGTTGGACTAATAAAGCCCAGGTTCCACGACTGCTCAGGCTGGTGACTGTGCCAACCAGACCATGCTGAAAACTGGCTCCTAACCAGTGGGAAACGTGCAGGTGCAGGTGCAGGAGCCCAAATCCTGTAGCAGAATACCTGGGAACTAAAGCTCATACTTCAGTGGGAGCCAGCTGGTTGCCTTGTCTTTGTAGATGAGGGCAGCATGTGCTAAGTTATCTCAACAGCCTGCTGCTATCCTCAGCGTAGCGGGGAAACGTCACCCGAGAGAAAGAATGAATGTGGGCATCACTACCTGGAGCAAGCCTCCAAGCGTCTTAAATATCCCACAGCCTGTGCGTTTCAGCTCCTATCTGAGATTTTCCCTTCCTATATTCATCTTATGCTCCTCTGATCTCACATCTTGTTTCTAATCACAGCTCAGAGTGAAACACATGTAAGGTAATTACTCCTCGGTGCTCTGTGGTAGCACTCATTGATTAGAAATCATTTTCAGAGGGAACACTATAACAAGGAGTTTTGATCAAAGCTGGATTATTATTTCAGCTCCTCGTTTCACCCACATACGTTTGTTCCCTCTTCAAGGAAGAAAATTTGTGTGCCTGTGTGTGTTATGTGTGTGAAGCTAGATCATAAGGGAGGTAAGAGTTTTTCTTAGAGTGGAACTATTTATTTCCTTCATCTAAAAGAACCATTTCTTTAAAAAGCTGCCAATCAAGCGCCTTCCTGAATCTCATGTTCCAAGCTCTTCATTTCCTTCAGTCCCATCTCTCCGGGACGGGGCCATGTTTATGGCGCGATCGTGAGCATTGCAGGTTTGGGCCCAGCCAGGGCCAGGGGAACCGTGCTCGTGGCTGGAGGCTGTGGAGCTGGAGTTTCAGGAGGACGCAAGGGATCCCTGAAAGCCAACACTGGGCTGCGGAGGGTTTGCTGCGCCCCGTGAGCTCCCTCACAGGCCCCATCCTTCTGTGCCTGCCCTACTGGCCCACTGGACTCCAATCATGAGCGCCGACACAGCACGGTGCCTTTCAAATCTGCCCTTCTTTTGAGTTGTTTACAGCTGTGCAAATTACTTTCTTATCTAATCCTAGAAAGCAGGCATCCGAGGTCTGCCACAGAAGCTGGAGTGAGATGCACAGGAGGAAGTTCTATTTTTATTTTTTAACATTTAAAAAAATCCTCTTCCATTCTTCTTCCTGAGGTGCTGGGTTAGATTCTACACGCAGGGCAGAGACAGGATACGCCAGAATATCAACTCTCAATTACTGTTTCAAAAGGGGAAAGAATAACTTGAGATATTCCAGAAGGTTTTAAAATTAAGAGCTTTATTTTTTTCAGAGTAAGTTTTATCTCGGAGTAAACCATCATTAGCCCTTAATCCAAACAATCAGAAAGCTTAAACAATGGTCAAGTGACTTAAAAAAAAAGACACATCTGGGATTTAGAGTATTCCGAAGAGCGGTATAGATGGATTGTCCTGGATGAGCATAGCTCATGCTTAAGCCTCTACTGTTCTGCGTTTATAGTTCTCCGCAGTAATGAACTTGTCCCCTGAAAATGAGAAGCTACCGGTGTCTAAAATATGTATTATATATGCGTAGACACATATCTGTAGGGACGTGTTATAGTCCATACACACATACACATGTCCACATACGTAGACACATCTGTATATTAGCATATGGTCGTCCCCACGCCTTGTCTGCAGTTTTGCTCTCTATGGTTTCAGTTACCCCTGGTCAACTGCAGTTGGACGCAGACGGTCCTCCTGATGTATCCTCGGCAGGTCAACAGAAGCCTAACACTACATCATAGCGCCCATGTCACTCACTGCACTTCATTTCGTCGTGTAAGTGTTCCGTCATGCCACATCACAAGAAGGGTGAGTGCAGTACAGTAAGGGGTTTTGAGAGACAAAGACATAACTTTTATTACAGCATATTGTAATTATTCTACTTGATTATTGTTGTTAATCTCATTTTGTGCCTCATTTCTAAATTAAGCTTTATCACAGATGTGTACATATAGGAAAAACAGAGTACATATGGGGTTCAGTACTATCCACGGTTTCAGGCATCCCCTGAGGGTCCTGGAACATTCCCCCTGTGGATAAGTGGGGATCTAAGTCTGCAAGCCCATGGCTAAGAAGATTTTATTCATTCAGTGACTATTTACTAATTGTCCAATCATTATGGTAAGTACTGAGGAAAATTGATCAGTAAGACAAAATTCCTACCCTCCAGTTCACAGTCTAGTGGGAGACACATGAAAACATGGAGTACAATAAAATGTTAGTGGCTTTTCGATGGACATACATGTAGGTAGAGTGGCCACCAATATGAACAGCTCTCCCTGGAGGATGGGGGTGTTGTGAGAGGTTTCCTACGGAAGGGAGTCCTTGAGTTGTATTGTTAAGGTTGCCTGGTGGCCTCTGGACTCGAACTCTTTGATACCTGGTAACCCACGCTTGGTACGCATAGTCACTCACGGATCACCATTTTGGATAAGCAAGTATCTTCTGAATGAGTTCCCCAGGCTAAAATTAATCCTGAGTTTCATTACCTGCACTTGGCATCCAGGGAATGCAGCCTGGGAGTGTGCTGTCCTTAGAACTGTTGACACATAAAATACAATGGACAGTTCAGCGGACGAGGTGCCTGCTGAACAGAACCAGTTGGTGTGCCTCCCCGCTCTGTGATTCGGTGATGACACACCACTGTAAGAAAAGCCCCAAGGGAAATGAATGGTGTTTTGAAAATACGGACAATCTTCCAAAACAGCTGTTCAGTCCCATCCTAGCACTCCTCCCCACAGGAAGAGAAGCTGGCCTGTCTCCAGCCTGCACTGGGAGCAGGTCAGCGGGGGCTGTGTCATAAAACCTGGGCCGTTAGCAACCTCGACACGAAACCTCTGCTGTTCGTTATGTGAGCAGGTCAGGCCTCAAGTCTGCAACACTGACCTGGAAAGGTAAAACTCTGGTACTCCAAGTAGGAGGGATGGTCCACTCCCAGATTTCATTTGGCTGTTCTGCACAGGAAGCAGAGTCTGAGCCTCTGTGTCCCCTTTAAGACCTGCCATGACTGTGGAATAGCTGTGCGAGCTCAGGCCAGTGAATCAGACTCTCCGACCCTCAGTCCTCCCACTGTTTCAGTACATAATATAGTCCCGCGTACAGAACTGGTGCACGACAGCACATTAATGCACACATACACACACACCCTGAGAAAAGTACCCACAGGGCGCCTGGGTGGCTCTGTCGGTTAAGCCTCGGTCATGATCCCAGAGTCCCAGGATCGAGTCCTGCATGGGGCTCCTTGCTCAGCGGGGAGTCTGCTTCTTCCTCTGCTCCTCACCCTGCTCATTCTCTCTCTCTTTCTCTCGCTCTCTCTCTCAAATAAATAAATAAAAATCTTAAAAAGAGAAAGAAAAGTACCCATAGAGGGTTACAGGACAAAGAGACCTCAAAGACACACCCTCACAAAAAAGTTAAACATTATTTAAGGACACACCTTTAGAGTCCTAGGGTGAAGCAGATTATTAGCAAAATGGAGCATGATTAAAAAAAAAATGATTCAGAAACCCACACTTGAGTTGAGGGTTGATTAAAGAGACAGTTTACCTTGGGGAAGTATGGGACCCATGGGCACTAGCTCTGAAGCAAGGGGAGGAAAGCAGGTGACCCTTCAAAGAACCCCGTGTTCTAGCCAGCCGCCCAGGACCTGAAGCAGCAAATGGGCAGCAGACACCCCCATGGAGGGGTAGAGGCCACATCTCTGACGGGGAGTCACTGGTTCTGACGAGGCCCTTACCTGCCAGTCAGTGAAATGCTCCAAGGACACCATGTAGCTTCCTAAGACCCTCCACCTCCAGAGCCCTTACCGGCATTTGCAAAGAAAGAGCCAAACGCTGATCAAAGAGAGGAAGAGGGGTCTGACCCCCCAGTTCACAAAATGTGGCCTTTTCCAGGCACCAGGGTTCCCCACAGGCTACTTATGCAAATGGCCTGCTCAAGTGGGAACCTTCCTTAAGCAAGGAGCAGCTACTTCTCATTCCTGAAAATTCCCCCAAATATTCTGAATATGTTGACATGATTCCCCGATGAGCACAAACCTTCAGAAGTTCTTTAAGTGCAGGGAATAAACATTATACATTTCATGTGCAAATTTCAAATAATCACTGAGACCAATATGGCTTCTGGTGAAATAAGCCCCACGACAGGATGGGCAGTACAAAGGTACAGTAACAGGCACTGGGCATACATCAGCAGTCAGAGAGAAGGCTGGAGAAGCACATGTTAGAATTAAAAATTCAATCACCTTGCTTTAAAATATTTGGATGTACTTTTAAGAACTTCATCTCATTTTAGACTTAGAATGCTGCTTTTAAGGTAGGGTTATTACATCAGTTTTTTAGATGAAGAAACCAGTCGCTCAAAGAGGCTAAGTGACCTGTCGAAACAAAGAAGCTGGCCTTAGAATGCAGGTCTCTTTCTCCTACGTCAATCGCCCTAATTGCACATGCTCTTAAGAAGCGGATTGTATCGGGGCGCCTGGGTGGCTCAGTCGTTAAGCATCTGCCTTCGGCTCAGGTCATGATTCCAGGGTCCTGGATCGAGCCCCGCATCAGGCTCCCTGCTCGGCCGGGAGCCTGCTTCTCCCTCTCCCACTCCCCCTGCTTGTGTTCCTCTCTCTCGCTGTGTCTCTCTCTGTCAAATAAATAAAATCTTTAAAAAAAAAAAAAAGAAGCGGATTTTATCTTGCTGTGGGGTTGGTGTATGAGCTGCCTGCCAGTTATGTGTGCCGCAGTGGGAGGCCTCGAGTGCCTATTGCCCTTGCTGCCCCTGTTAAGTCTCTGTGCTGGGGCTACGTGCCCCACCTGCAGGCCTCTGAAGACTGGACCAAGGATGGGGGTTGGCCATGCAGCAACGAGTGGCTTGAGCTCTAGGCCATCACCGCCCCCCCCCCCGCCCCCGCCATCATGGCAAGGACTCTACGGACCAACCAGATCCTCTCTCCTAAGAAAGCTGGACATGCCACAAGAGAAAGAGAATCACGAGGAGCCAGTGAAGGAGGCACCATTCGGTACCTAGGCACCATCATGGTCTAGCCCTGTGCAGAGAACACATAACAGAGGCATGTAACAAGCTTCCTGGGAGTCAGCTAGTAAGGTACTCTATCCTGAGAGAGGTCGGTTCTCAGGGAGGCCTGCTCTGGGAAGACTGCATTGGTGTTACGTCTCCCTTACCAGTGCTATACTCTTGCAGCAAGCCTCAGTCCCTGAACTAGCTCTTTTCACTGTAACCCCAAAAAGCAAAGCATATGATTCTCTTCCAGTCCTGTGTTCGAATAGGGCATTGGAGAGTGACCACACAGTACCATCTCCCCAGGCAGAAGTCACCGCTCCAAAAGGGCGCTCCTTGTTTTCACTGCCCACCTTAGATATCAGACTGGGACTGAAATCAAGAGCTAGCCATAAAATTCCTATAAGGAGCTGTTGTGCTGAATTTATCTCCCAAGATTCGCATGTTGAAGTCCTAACTCCCAGTACCTCAGAATATGACCTTATTTGGAGATGGGGTCTTTATGGAGGTAATTAAGGTAAAATGAGGTCATGGGGTGGGCCCCAATCTGACTGGTGCCCTTATAAGAGGAGATTAGGACCCAGACACACAGCAGGAAGACCCTGTGAGGACACAGGGAGAAAGTGGCATCTACAAGCCAAGGTGAGGCCACAGAAGGAGTCAACCCTGCTGACACCTTGATCTCGAACTTCTAGCCTCCAGAGCTGTGAGGGAATAAACTTCTGTTATTTAAGCCACCCAGTCTGTGGTATTTATTAGGGCAGTCCTACAAAGTAATGTGGAAGCCTTCACGTTGGGTCTCCAGAAAGACACCAAAGAGGCTGGCAAGCAACTTAAAGCCATATGCTGGAAGCAATATGGTGGTTTGGTAGGAACATGTCCTGGGCTCAGACTGCTGGGGTCGAACGCTGGCTCTGCCCCTTAGAGGCTGTGTCTTGTTGGATGAGATGCTTTACCTCCGCTGCCTGGTGTCTGAGTCTGAAAGGGAGCCCGCAACACTGCCCGTCTCAAGGTGGGCGGGGAAGGTGTGATGAGGTCAGGCGAGTAGAGACTTAGCGCTGGGCTGGAGCCACGGGACACCGCCCTCAACCAAAGTGTGTTTTCAGACACCGTCAGATACGAGTGAGCGGATGGGATATATCGAGCATGGGGACTCTGAGGCCCTAGTCCTCCTCACCAGGAACGGCTTAGTCCAACCCGGCCATCCGATGTTCCTCCTTCTGCTCTGAATTCTTCTCCTTCCTCTGTGAGTTTGCCACACTCTTGGGAGTGTCTGGTGCCACTGTGTGCCGGGATGGATGGCTGTGCGTGTCTATTTGTCTCCCTATACACTCGACTGGAGCTCCCTTTAACTGAGAGTGTTTACGGAAAGCATTAATAAAGAGGCTTCGCTTCTTATCGATATGTTCTATGAAATTCTCCTTGCCATCTGGTGCCTGGCGTGGCTCTTCTTGATTTGGGAGGCACTCTCTGCCCACTCCCTGGGCTCTCTGACATGGAGCTGCATGTGCCAATGCAGTGGGTCAGAAAGTGCAACTCACGGATTGAAGTAGACACTAAGGCAGCAAAGTTCCTAAGTGTGAGCAAAGTACTCAGGCGCTTAGGCTAACAAAGAGCCTCTCGCGACAGAAACAGGATACCGCTGGACTTCCCGGGTACCTCTGTTGGACTCTGGGGGCAAGTAAAGGAAATCTACTCCTTGAGTCCTGCTGGCTCCACAGGGAAGGGGAATTCGTTTCAGGAGCCAGCCGGCCAGGGAGAGGCAGGCCTTCGGGCCCCTTGAAAGCACAGGAATAAGGGACCTGATTGCCTTCTGGATTCCATCTTGGCCTCCTGTCTCCACTTCGTCTGTATATCTACTTGGCTCTCTTCTCTGTAGACTGCCATTCTGTGCCTCTCTGCTTCTCAAGGCAAACAGACAATGTGGAAGATACTTTTGTCAAAGGAATGACTGAATCCCTGTCATCCCCAATAGTAAATTCTCGTTGTGGGTCAAGCATTTGTCTGGGTCTCATCAGCTGAGACTGGGGGCTAGGGATAGGGTGGTGTAGAGAGGAAGCCCCCCTGCACAACATGGCTGCCAGGGCCCACTGCTCTGGATTGGGAGAGAGGAGAGGTTCAGACATTTTTACATCTATTTATTTATTTATATTATTTTTAAAATTATTTTTTTTTCTTTTTTTTTTTTGAGAGAGCGGGTGGCCGGGGGAGAGAGGCAAAGGGAGAGAGAATCCCAAGCAGGCTCCACACCCAGTGCACAGTGAGACACGGGGCTTGATCTCATGACCCTGAGATCATGACCTGATAAAGAGTTGGATGCTCAACTGACTGAGCCACCCCAGTGCCCCAGAATGGTATAGTTTAGATATTTACATTTCTTTGTAGTTAATGATAGGCATGCTAAAGTATACATAGCATGTGAAGTACACATATTCATGTAATATAGTTAATGATATGCACACTGAAGTATTTTGGGAGAAGTGGCATGCTAAAGTATACATAGCATGTGAAGTACACATATTCATGTAATATAGTTAATGATATGCACACTGAAGTATTTTGGGAGAAGTGTACTAATGTCTGCAACTTTGTTTTGTTTTTGTTTTTTAATTTTTAAGTAGGTTCCATGCCCAGTGCAGAGCCCAAGGCGAGGCTCAATCTCACGACCCTGACACGGGGTTCAATCTCACAACCTTGAGATCATGACCTGAGCTGAAACCAAGAGTTAGACGCTTAGCTGTCTGAGCCACCCAGGCACCCCAGAGATTTTGAATTTTGGAATGCTCATTAGAAATCTCCAAACAGAAATGCAGATTAAAACAATCAATCAAACAAACAAACAAACAAAACACCCAGACAAACCTATCACATGTCTTTAAAACTCAAAAAGAAATGCAACTGCTTTTCATAAGTTAATATAGCTACTCTATTTAAAAATTGGTGTCTGGTAGTTGGTGTGCTTTGGAAATTATTTCACCATGAAATACATTTAGAAACACCAACAGATGATGGCAAAATGGTGATTTATCTCCTAAAAATGACTGATATCCCTCGTTTCATGAGTACTGACAGTAACTAGTTGGTATTCACTTACATCATCGACTGAACTCTCGCTGAATTCCAAATCAGAATACAAAGTGCCGTCTGCCTTGTGCAGGATCCCTCTGGTATTTAGACTCTGTGGTGTAGACTTCAGGACTGAATTAAAACCCTGAGACCCCAAGACGCAGGGCCTGTCCAGAATGGAAGTCTGTCTCATCAAATCCCACCTGCGAACAGATGTGCTGGCTGCAGAGCCCAGTTCTGTCATTTCCGACCAGCGGGCATCCTGCTCATTTCCTCTCTTGCACTTTTCTCCCAGAGACGATGTGCTACCCATGTTCTACAGCGCTTACCCTGCCCCCCCATATGCTACATCTTAACCCCCTCATGCTTTTCTTCCCTTGTCATATCTTCAACCTTCTTGTTCCCTCTTCGTATCCAGAACTATTAAGACCTTCAGAAAGCAACTTTATTGTTTGGAATAAATTTTCGTTGAGCAACTGGATGCTTATTTTGAGTATGAGCTTAACTACAGTAAATACAAAGCACAATTTTTTTTAATTGAGATGCTTTGCTGTTCTTAGAGTGTATTTAATGCTTGCATTTAATTACCATTAGTTTCTCCCAGAAGAAATTCACCACTAGGATATTATCACCACCATCGACAACACTTACTGTATACTTATGCACCAGGCACTGCAAAATAACCTTTTAAAGTAGTTCCTAATGTTAGACCCATTTTAAAGATAAAGAAACTGAGGTTTAGAAAGATAAAGCAAGTTGCTCAAAGTCCCACAGGCCAACAAGTGACAAAGAAAGGAGCTACACTCAGGGTAACCTCCAAAGCCCATGTTATAGCCACTCCCCCACGAAGGCTTCCTGGCCCTGAGCAATGACATTCTATTCCTTCCGGACATAAGATGGAATAAGACAGAATGTGGCAACCACTACACTGTGTAGACACTGCAGGTCAACTGAACCCCAGAAACCACGGCCCAATCTCAGGAACCTCATCAATCTGTCATTTGAGCATTTGCCCGGGACAAAGGGTTGCCACGTGGCTACTCTGGTCTGACATGCGACTGTGGCTACTCGTTTAGTGAGACTAGGAATACATGTAAACCGAGGCACAGGTGACGCAGTTCATATACAAGTCAGTGTTTAAGTGTCCTTTATTTATTTTTTTAAAGATTTTATTTGACAGAGAGAGACACAGTGAGAGAGGGAACACAAGCAGGGGGAGTGGGAGAAGGAGAGCAGGCTTCCCGCCGAGCAGGGAGCCCGATGTGGGACTCGATCCCAGGACTCCGGGATCATGACCTGAGCTGAAGGCAGATGCTTAACGACTAAGCCACCCAGGCGCCCCTTAAGTGTCTTTTAAAAAAATGAGTAAAACAATTGGTTTCATGACTTTGGTAACAGATTCATTCAAAGCAAATTACTAATCTTATAAATGGTATCGGGAAAGATGGTTAGCTGTTTAGGAAAATGAAAGTGTGACCTTCTCATCTCACAATGCCATGGTAAGCTCCAGACGGAGCCAGGAATACAATTTAAATAAAAAACAACTTAAGAGAAAAAGTAAGCAAATATTTATATAATCCTTTATAGGACAGACAAGGACTTTTTACATGGAAAAACAATTGAAGGAATCAATGAAAAAAATGTTAGACATGACAATATGAAAGAAGGTAAAATATCACTATGTCCCAAACACCACACAGAATAATAAAAGGCAGATAACAATCTGAAAAAAGCCTCATAACAACCAAGAGAGAAAATGGACTAGTATTCTGGGTATATAAATAGCTTATACCAAGTTGATCTGAGATGTTTTATTGTTTATAAAACCCCAACAGAAAAAAGTGGACAAAGCACTTGAACACTTAGCGAGGTATTCAAAATGATTAACAAATTCATGGAAAGATTCTATTTCATTTGGCATTAAAACAACAAAGTGCTCTGATAATTATATGTAAATAAATATACCTTCTCCACATTAAAAAAAAGCATTAAAAAATTAATAGTACACAACAAAATCAGAATTTTCTGAATATATATGTATGCATGCTTATCCTACATATTTAAAAAAAGGGATGGAAAAAGGGTATAAAAATGAAAACAGTGCTTATCTGTGGGTTGTTGAATTACAAGGAATTTAAATTATCTTCCTTATACCTTTCTTTTCTTAAAAAGCCATTATATCTAATACCCAAATTTAGTATTTTCAGTATGTAAGAATGAAAAGAAGGAAGGAGGAGGAAGAAAGGAAAGAAGGAAGGAGAAAGAAGGAAATAATTTTTAACTTTCAAGAGGTTAAGAGGCAATAAAAAGTTTGGCGTAATAAGTGTCCAGTATCCAGAACACATGAAGAACTCTTACAACTCCAAAAAAAGGGAGAAACAACCCAATTAAAAAGATGGCAAAGGATTTGAATAGACATTTCTTCTAACATCTACAGATGGCCAACAAGCATATGAAAAGATCATTCAGTCTTTAAGGAAGTATAAATTGAAACCAAATGGATGGATGGATGGAAGAATGGATGGATGAAGGGAGGGAGGGAGAGAGGGAGGAAGGAAGGATGGATGGAAGGATGGATGGATGGATGGATGGATGAAGGGAGGGAGGGAGGAAGGGAGAGAGGGAGATGGATGGAAGGATGGATGGATGGATGGATGGATGGAAGGATGGATGGATGAAGGGAGGGAGGGAGGGAGGAAGGAAGGATGGATAGAAGGATGGATGGATGGATGGATGGATGGATGGACGGATGGATGGATGAAGGGAGGGAGGGAGAGAGAAACAAGTGTTGGAGAGGATGCAAATTGAAACCCGTGTACATGGCTGGTAGGAATGTAAAGTGATTTAGCCACCATAGAAAACAGTCTGGCAGTTCCTCAAAAAGTTAAACAGAATTACCAAATGACTCAGCAACTGTACTCCTAGGTCTATTCCCAAAAGAATGGAGAACAGGGACTCAAATAAATACTTCTGCACACATCTTCATACAAGCATTATTCACAGTAACCAAAATATGGAAACAACCCAAATGTCCACTGAGGGAGGAATGGATAAACAAATTGTAGTTTATATGTAGAATGGAAAATTATTCAGCCATAAAAAGGAATGAAGTATTGCTACATGCTGAAAGGTAGATGAACCTCAAAAACATGCTAAGTGAAAGAAGCCAGACAGACACAAAGGATCATACACTGTATGATGTAGATGTAGACAGAATGACATAGACAGAATGCAGACTGGTGGTGGCCAGTGGCTGGGGGATGGAAGGAGTGGGGGGAATGGGAAGTAGCCCTATAATGGGTGTGGGGTTTCTTTGGGGTGATGAAAATGTCTTGGATCTAGATAACCAAATAGACACACTATACTGTGAATGCGCTAAATGCCACTGAATTGCTTACTCGAACATGGCTAATTTTGTCATGTGAATTTCACCTCATTAAAAAAAAAAAAGCCAACAGAAAAATAAGTTTAGAGTAGCCCTTCCATGGGGACACCATCTACATGGACACTAATTTAAAACAGATTTGTTAGACATCCTTGAATCTGAGACTTTGGGTTCAGGGGTAAAGTGCAATAGAGGAGATCTCCTCACATCTGCTACGGATTGTATGGATCTATTTTCCACAGAATACACCCAGTGGATATTTTAACAGAATTTCTTTATTTTTCTTGGGGGGTGGGGTGGGAAACTGGTCTTAAAAACATAATGCAAAGGCCCAACTGATATACAAATATAAAGTTTTGAAATTACTGCTACTGTTTTTTTCTAACTTTATTTTCCATATTTACTGATGATAAGGAACTAAAACCACCATCTAACTAAAATTATTAGCCACTCAAGGCAGCATACCAACAGATCATAATAGCTATTTTTCACAGTTGCTTGAAAGTATGTCAGATCAACTGAATGTAATTTTACACAAATTTGCAGTTAGGACTACCGTAACTGCCTTGCCATTTTCTTATTACAGCATGAGCTAGACAGTACCCTAAGGAGGAAACCTAAGCAAAAGTATTATTTGAAGTAATTAAATGATGTAAATATGATGTATAAATCTGGTCATATGTTATAGGCTCCAATTTCAATCTCTACCTGGTCCAGTCATTGGCTGAGCAAAGCTGTCTGAGGGACAGGACAGGCAGGACATGAGACATTAGATGATTTAAAGAAGGAAGGAAAGAGGGGAGGATGCCCCAGAAAAGGACATGAAGATGTGGAGGGGCCCCTGGCTAAAATCTCTAAGACACATTTGTTTTCTGAGAAGAACTTGAAGTAGCTCTGCTCTGAAGGTTGCAGGGACCTTGAGTTTTGGTTTTCTATTAACTATTAGGATTTTTCCATCTTGAATATCTGTATGGATCTCCTTTACTTTAACTATGCTAAGAATAGCTTCAATGCAGACTAGTCTTCCCAAGAATTTGATCTGTTTAATATTGCCAGATATATTCCTATATCAGATGTGATATCACATTATTTGGGATTCATATTTAAAGAGACTTTCTGGCAGTAGGAATCCTGAAACAAAGAAGTTCAATGTACAGGTATTCCTTGATTCAATCTAGGTTAAAAAAAAAAATAGCATTCTAAATATAATCAAAATCAACTCCTCTCTGTTTTCCTTGCGATATGTGCCTCACACCTTTTTTTCCCAGCTTTCTTCCTCTCATTTTGGGGAGGCTCCTTTTATGCCTTGAGAGGATGAGTGGAGGTCAAGTCTAATTTCAGGAGTTGTGTGTACTCTGTATTGTGTTGCACTTCTGTCCCCCAGGGGTGGCTTCATCCTTTGGAGCAGGTGGCTCCACCCAGCAGGACCAAAGGGAAGTATAAGCAACCTTTTAAGGAGTCTTCATTTTAAGAAGTGCTGATCAAAGTATTGTTCAAATTCCAAATTCCATGCATATTTTCAGGTCTTAATTGGCATGCCATGTCCTTTCTTAAGTTAAATACACTGGCTATCCCCTATGAAGTGCATTTAATGAGGCTTGTCTTAAGTGGGCCACCCCAGCGCTGGGGACTAATCTCTAAGTGTCATTCCTGTATAATTCCTGCTTCTCAGAGAGGGCTCACGGAGATGCTTCACCTGCCCTATCCACCCTTTAAATGAGCTATAGGGGAAGGGAACATACAAACAGGTAAGTGACTGAAAAGTGAAACTTCCCCACAACATTATTCCAAAGGAAAATCACCAAACACATAGCCATGAAGACCAGGTCTAGGTGCCAGAGTTAGGACATTTTGTTTGCTCCCTAACACATCAACCCTCTGTATATAACCATTAAATCAAATATTCTGTAATTACTAACATTTGTGGAATAAATATTTGTGAAGGCACCACAGGGGGGAAAGGAGAATATGATTCACCAAAGTATTTCCCATCCTTGAACCTACTACTGAAGGCTTTGTATTGGCCAAATCCATGTGGTCTTGGCAGGTCACCTGATTGCACTCTCTAATCTCGCTCCTGCAAGACAGACCTTCCATGCTTTCATCCCCCAGCCTCTGTTCCTCTACCTGGACCTCCTGGGTCACCCTTCTTAATTCCTTCACTCACTCGTTCCCTCTTCCATCCCTTTAGGCCTTCCCTGGAGTTCATTCTTTCTTCATCTTCCCCTTCTCCTGTGCCAGACACAACCTAGGCATCTCAGTCCTGACTGGAGCTCCAACTGCCAACTGTATACTCTAATCCTGGCCTCTCTCTCATGAGCTCTTAGGCCGGAATTTCCAGGCAGGCTACCTAAAACTCAGGAAGACCACAAGTAACCACATAACCTCCACCAAAGCCCTGCTCCCTTTACTTAACCCCTACCTCAAGGTCAGCTCTCAGTCACACCATTCAGGACTCGGAAGTTACATTTAGTTCCTTCATCTCCATGCTCGCTCCCTCAAATGGCTCCACCTTTCCTGTGGATTTTAACGCCTAAATATCCTTTCCATCAGTCAGCTTTTCCCACAAGGCCCTGGCCACTGTCTCAGCTCAGACTTATCTCCTCCATTCAGATAAGCTATTCAGATGCACTTCTCCATCTTTCCCTACCCCCAGCTTTACCCAGGGCCAACATAGTCTCAAGACAGATAATCACTTACAAATTTGAAAACATCTGAATTAGCTCAATGACTCCCTACATGTTCTACCAGAAAAGTCCACATGAGTATAAGGAAATGAAGGGCCTTTAAGATCTGGCCCTTCCCAAACTCTCCAGTTTCATTTCCCCCCACTCCGCCATGTTTCCTGTATGCTGGGCACACTAAATTATTTTCATCTCTCTCTTCCTGTCTTTGTGCATACTGTCTACTCTGCCTGGAATTTCTTGGCCCATTCCATAGCTAAGTCTAATTTGTCAGCTGAACCATGATCTGTAAACATTTCTGGATCATTTACAGCAAAGAGAGGTGCTACTCTTCTTTGAAATCGTGGTGGTGCCATCTGTCATCTAAGACACTTTTCATATTAAATTGCATTAAATTATGTGCACTGACCTCCTATCAGACTGTGAGCTCCTTGAGGACAAGAGCTCATTTAAAAAGTCATTTTTATATCTCCTGACCCTAAGTATCACAGATAGCATAGTGCCTCACCCATAGTAAGTGTTCACAAACATGTTCACTAGAATGAAGGAGTCACAACTTGAGATACATTAAGTTTTAGCTATTCTAGCTAAAAGGAAAAGAACTATTCAAAAGCATACTGAAGAAAAACATCTGGAGCTCAAGGGCCCACTGCAGCCTCAACTCTGTGGTGCTCCAGAGTTCTCTGGAAAGGAAGCTAATGACTTTGGCCTGTCACCCTCTTCCTTCCTGCCCTCTTCCAATGCCAGAAGTCTGTAATTACATGTCTTAGAACTCATTTGATCTCAAATAATGGAAACCCATGTGAAACCAACTTAAACAACAGGGGAGTTACACTTGCTTAGGGAATCTGAGCAAGGACTGGACAACTCAACTGTGGGAAGGGTGGTGAGCAGCTGGGTCCCAGAACACAATGGAACCGAGGACTCAAACCACACCAGTTCTCCTCTCCATGTCACATCTCTCTTCTGCTGCTTCCTTCTCCCTCTCTGCTCACCACATTCTCCCCACATGGGAAATGTGGCCAGAGATGGCTCCTAAGTATGTCACTCACAGCTTAAGCTCTCTTGGGTCTTTCATCCAAACATTATGGGGAGAGAAGGCCTATTGGCCCAGCTTTATGAGGTGCCCACCCCCGCAGCAATCACTTAGGCCCTAGAACAGAGACCCACTGGACCAGTGTGGACACTGTCCTATGAACCCAGCACATGGGGGAAGAAGCTGCTTCTAGAAAAGGATGTTGGCAGCCATGTCAGGGATCCACTATTCCTATGACTCTCAGTGGGATGGCTTAGGTACGTAGTGGTTTGGAAAGCCCACATTCAAGAGAGCTAAGGCTTCTCTGCCCTCCCTGCACAGATAGCTTTTTTCTTCCTTTCATAGTTACCTTCCTTCAAAATTTTCCCTTGTTCCTCATCTGTGGCAAACAAACATACACAACAAGCATGTTATAATTTGACTCCTTGAATTTCCATTCAACCCTGTGATTTCCCCTCTTCCAATCAGGAAAGGGTTTCTTAGGTAATCATGGAATAATTTGCATACTTCCAACACTTTTCTGATCTGGGGAGTTCAGAGTATTAAAATATATTTTATAAACGATACAACCAATCTTCTTCAAAGGTACTTTTTTTTCCTTTTTCCTTTCTTCCTTTTCTCTATGTGAACACTAATCTCAAAAACGCTATTTTTAAACCAGCAGTTTACTCAGAATCTAACTTGCTATAATCCAATTCCTGTTCCAATTCCTCACCCCCCACTCTGTTTCTCCTCAGTCAGAAACCAGCATGACTGAGAGTAAAGGGTTCTGGTCACCCATCTGGAAAATGTTACCAAATGGGGTCTCTTTCTGGCCTACAGAGAATGGGATGTCGGTTATATTTGGAGAAAACATGATGTCAGTATGTTGTTGCTGGGTTTTCTTTCTTTTTATCATTCATTCATCATATATTTATTGAATAGTTGCTATGTTTTATACCTCAAATAGAGCAGAAAGTTAAAGACCCAGTGCCTGGCAGTAACTCACAGTGCAATGGTGGAAAGTGTATAAATACAATGCAACGTGGCAATTGCCAAAACAGAACGTGTTAGAAATGCTTATCTCACCATCACTGATACCATGTGTGTTGCTGGACAGACAACCAGCTAGGAGAAATTACCATATTTAACAAATGCTGGGATAAGATAAGATTATTCCAGTAAAATTCTGAGTAAGTGTGTAGACCACAGCTGTCATCTCTTGTACAAATATTTCACCTGCTTCATTTTCACTGCTGGTTTCCTCTTTTCTCATCTTACTATCATCACTTTCTTTCAGGAGGAAGTAGAGGCTAAGAAAAGTGGCCGGATCTGTCAAACACAGAATCTAAAAACTTCTGTGGGGTATTCTTTCTCCTCTGAGAAATATTAAATAAGACATCTTGCAAAATAGTTCTGTTAACAAAAGAGGAGTTGTTGATTTTGTCCTCATTTCCGAGGTCTGAAAGATTCTGGTCTGAACTGAGACGGAGTCAGTTGTGCGCTGGAATCCCCGAGGCCTTCTTTGCAGGGGTTTGCCTGGAGGGGAAAGCCTGGGGGAGGGGCTCTGCAAGGTAGGAAAGGAGATGGGGCTCAGAGCAGAGCTGCTTGAGTCCCCGGTGACAGGTGTGACACCAGCAAGGGAAGGCACAGCTCTGCCCAAATCTGATAGAGCACAGGACACCGTGAAGACCCCCCCAGAGTCTCATGGGTGTGTGCCAGCTGGGGCAGCAGCAGGGCTAGCAATATCCAGGAGGAAACTGGGGGCCCCCTGAGTCCCGGCATGTTCAGGGGAAGTTTGTTTGTAAGCAAATGTGGGACATCCTTGGAGACCTCCAGAAATACTTGAGGGGAACTGTGCAGGAGGCTGAGGTCTCCGTGAGCAGGTGGTGGTGACATGCTGGGGAGATCCGAATATAAGTTCCTCAATTCATTTCCTAAGCGTCTGACTTTCCTAAGCGTCTGACTAACTAGCCCCCTCTATGCTACAGCATCTCCGCTGGAACGGGACACCCTGCCGGGCACTACACTGCCTTGAGGTGTCCTCCTCTTCTTCATGTAAATCTTACGGAACATTCTTCCTTGCTCTGTCCTCACCAGACACCTGATTAAATTCTGGTCATAGTCATACCTTCTCCGGCTCCAAACGACACTTGAATAAGTAGATCGCCCAGTGGAGCTATAGGCTGTGAAAACAAAACAAAACAAACCACCAAAAAGCAAAAACAAAACACAAATCGAAGTTCCTGTTGGTCGCCTGGATTTTCTAACTTAACCACCCTTACTCCCCACCCCCACGTGTGGGCTCCAGATCCGATCCCACCTCTACAGAGGGGACAGTTAGGAGCCCTGGGGCGGCAGCTAAGCACCGGAGCTCCCAGGCAGACTGCGGCCCCTAAGCCCAGCTTCTCTGTGACTGCTTGTCGCTCTGCCACCCGCTTCCACTGGGCTCGCTACTGTGTGGAGCCCTAGATCGTGGGTGCCATTTGGGCCAACTGTGTACACACCACTGGTCCCTTCCCCTGGAGTTGACCTCCCATCCCTAGAGGTCCCTGCCTGCTTTTGTACACCAACAGCTTAAGTCTCAGTTATGACCAAGCTAAGGAAAGTAACTAACCCAAGAGACACTTGGATGCGCCCCCCGCGCCCCACCCCAGCCCGTGCACTGTGCATCGTAGCCCCAGCCTGGCTGGTGCTGGAGCCAGAGAGATCGGCAAGTCTGGGGAGCATGTCTCTGCTGCTCAGAAATTCAAATAGGTCTCAGAAACTTTCTTACAAATCTTATCTTTAGAGACTCAACTCCAAGATCTAGCATCAGGAAAAGTGTTTGGTTATCCTATGTATGATTCTGAGGCTGTACAATGTCAGGTTGTATTTGGATTAAAAAATCTCTTGGTTACTAAGACATCATTAACTGTGAGGGTCGCGGTACATTCAAGGCCAAGCCTCTGTGGGGTGTGAAGGACAAGGTCACTGACCCAGTATGGACGGTGCGGGTGGGAGTGGGAGGCAGGCTCCCATTGCAGCTCTGGGCATCGCATTTGGGTGGTAGCTAGTTGAAAGAAGTGACCTTGTGACCTGGGATAACAGATTAAAGATCCAAAATGGTTTAGGGCATGACTCATAATTGCCCAAAATGATGCGGTGGGGCTGCCCCTCCCCATCACATTTCTGCCAGCAATTCTGTGACTTAGAGTCCCCTAACATGTTGTCCTTGGTGTGCATTTTAACTCGCTTTCATTTGATCAATGGGGGTGGGACAGGGACAGGGAAACATCAAGGGACGTGGGTTACTTCTGCCTTGCATCTTGGAAAGAGAGCATTCAATCTCCATGCTGCAAAAAGGTGCACGGGGTGCCAAGTGAAGATAATTTCCAAATTCCCCGAAAACTGCTAATTGAAAGTTAAAGAGGGAAGAGTGGCTTCATGGTTAATTTTCACGAAGGTGTGCACGCACGCAGCAGATCACTGAAGATCCAGCTCATTAAGCTCCTGGCCTCTCTCCTTGCCTGGCGGCCATCGAGCTGTCTCTCTGCTCGTTCTCTGCTCTGTGCCGAGATGCTGCTCCCAGGGCCCTGCCAGGTCAATGCTGAAGGTAATCCCAAAGAATCCTTCAGCAAACGGTGAAGTGCTGGGGGACAAGGCAGAACAAGGTGTTCGGGGACTGAACTAATTGTGTTTTAATTTGTCTACTGCTGGTGGCAAACAGAGCCGCTACGTGGCAGCAAGAAAATGCACCTCTCGTGAGCTGCTTTAAAAAGAAGGCTTTGGGGAAGGAGGTAAAGGGAGGAAGGCAGGGAAAAACAAATATCCAGGCTAAAAATAGTGTTCTTAGAATTGCTTTCTGGGCTGTCTGAACCACAACAATAAAAGTTCTTAGACTCACGCCACCAGCATTGCAATAAAAGCGAAGAAAGGGAAAGAAGCCAGGAGCGTTCCAAAGCAGGCCTGGCTGCCCCGAGCCAGCTCCCTGGTACTGCATGCTGTCAATTTCAAGGGGGCGCAACTTCTGACAAGCTCTCTCAAGATTAGCTGTCGCTGGCTTTTCATTGCTGGCCAGGGTTTAAGTTCAGATAACAGCCCTTCTTTGGCTCTGTCAACAAGAACCAGGAGCAGGGAGTGATTTGTAAACCAGAGATGTCATTCCACCTGCCACCGGCCATGGCATTTTCCCAACACAGAATATGAAGTCCCACTCTGCTTCCCGTGATGACCAGAACTTCCTAGTCATATGTATTTGGCTGCCAAATCCAAGACTCCTGGCTGGGCTAAGGTTATTCTTTAATAAGCAAGATGGGCTGATTGTGACAGTTACTGGTTTTTACTGTGATAGCTATTTAAAAAAAAATAGTTTTCAAAGCATTTCACATCTATAGGCTCATCTAATTTTTGCAGTTGCCATTTTGGGATGATGTTAGTGCCCTGGGTTGGCAGATGAGGAACTGAGGCCAGAGAGCCCCTTTATGAGACTTCTAAGATGTGAAGGGCCAAGACTCCGCTGATGGCCTCTGAATCTGAATTCTGAGCTCTTTCCACTGGCCTACACTGCCTCCGAAATATGCAGCCGGGTAACAAAAGCTCCTCTAAGCTATGAAGAAGGATCAGTGAGCCATCCACCAAGCGTCACACAGGGAGCCAGCCTCTTCCACTAATATAAACATGGTGGGAAGATGGCAGTGAGAGACTATGCCATAGTGCCCTATGGAGTTTCCATCAAGTGGAATAGTCTAGAAAAGTTTAAATGCAAATAAGGAACACAAGAGATGAATGAGCCAACATTAGGAGCAGTTACATAGAGCTCTCTGCGAGGAGCAGACTGGTGGGGGATGAGGGCAGGAGGTCAGTACTTGGGGGCTTATTCTGAAAAAATGCCCCATGAACCTTTCTGGTTGTAAATGTTCAGACTATGGTTACGTTTTCTGGAAAGTGGGCTGAGCTGTTTTATGAGTGGTCCCTGGCTAAGAGGTGCAAGCAGAGGGATAGAACCAGGGGCACCCAGTTGCAAAAGATCTCTAGCCCTTAGACCTGTCTTGGTTCCAAACAAGTTTCCTGTTCTGATTCAGGTATCTCCTTAAATAAATCCCATTTGTCTTAAAGTGGCTACCCTGAGTGAATCTGCCCCAGCAACAAAAGAACATAACAACCCAGAGTTCTTTTTACAGGAACTGAAGGTTTCTACTCAAAGGCACTTAGTGACATTAATTAGAATCAGAGCTGTGTACACCTCATTCACAAGGTAGCAGAAGGGAAACAGATATGCAGAGTTTGCTATCCTGTGTCCTGGGAAATCTCCTCAGACCAATGGCTGCCCTGCTCTGAATCTATAGCCCTAGACATTGCCCCTCAGACAGTGAAGGTTTACGGGGCATCAGAAACTGTGTAGGCCACTTACGAGGCTTAACCCACCTTACTATTACCTTCTACTTTTTATTGCTAGTTAATTTTCCTTCGTTATTTGGCCCCATAAAAACTGGGATCTTGCCTTAATATCCTTGTGGTCCCAGTGGACCCCGTGTCTCCTATAACACAGGAACTCGAGAAGCGACTGGCTAACGTTCTTACAACGTGCCTCTTTGCATGAAGTTCAAGGAAGTCTAAAAATGGCAGTGCCTCAGTCAGAAGCTACTGAGTTCAGGCTAATGAGAAAACAAAGAAAGATCTGTATAGACAGTAAACCTACCGACGTATAAAGCAAGGTCAGAGGTCTGTCCATGTGACTCGTGTGGCTAATTAGAGTGAGGGCAGGCACCTGATTCGAGGAGAACCTGTCCTCCAGCTGGTCAGTGACCAGAAAATCTCGGGCCAGCGAGATTCCTTTGTCGAGAATGTCAGAATTGGGCAAAGTGGTAGCAACTGGTGCTGAGCGCTGACACCTAAAGGTCATTTAGACTCGGGGGCTGGGCAGGGTATTCTGAACTCTGCAAGATACAGAGAGAGCACAAGCTATATGGTGGAAAGCAGGGGAGAGCCAGAGTGAGCGTGAGGAAATAGAATGCAACAGAGAAGCAGAAATTGGTAGACAAACCCCAGAAAGAGCGACGGAGACAGAAAGTTCAGACCCTGCCCTAGCTCCTGTTCTTTCTGAAGCCAGCTTTACACATGTTTTGTCAAGTGTGTTTCTTGGAACCACAAGAACCCCCAGTGAACACCTCCCTCTTGTGAGGTCCTTCTGTCCCTTCTCCCTGCTGGTCAGAACAGAAAAGTAAAGCATGGTTTTAAGAAATAATATTTTTTCTGGGTGTTATGCACAAACAATGAATCATGGAACACTTCATCTAAAACTAATGATGTAATGTATGGGGATTAACATAAGAATAAAAAAAAAAAGAAATAATATTTTTTCAGAAGAAATAAGAAATTCTCCACTAAATGATATCCCAATGGTTCTCGACTGGGGGCAATTTTGCCTGACGGGGCATTTGGCAATGTCTGGAGGCATTTTTGGTCATCATAAGGTGCTGGGAGGGGCTGAGAGTGGTCAGAGGTACTGCTCACATCTTATGGTGCACAGAACAGCCTCCCCCCTGCCCCCACAAAGAATTATCTGGCCCCAAATATCAGTAGTCCAGAGGCTGAAGAACCCCACTCTAGACCAGAAGGTTGATAATACAAAGCATGTATCATTCAAGGATCAAATGTCATCTGACGCATAAGTATGAAAAAAGTTAAAACAGGGAAAATGTAACAATATGAAGAACTGTGGTGTTAGGGTGTTGAGATGATGGGTGAATCTCTACCTTTTGATTTTTAAACTTTTATGTTTTTATTGGATGCAATTTGCCAAAGCAAAATCAAATACCTCCCCCCCCAAAAAAAAAGAGAGAGAGAAGGGAGGGAAAGACGAGAGGAAGGGAAGAAGGAAGGAGAAGTCATCCAAACTGCCTCATCCACAGGGGCTCCCACCGCCTTGCTGTGGCTGGTTAGGAGCAGGTAATGCCCGTGACTCATACCCACTGAGAAGGGGGGCCAGCCACACTGAGAAAGCGCCTCTCTTCGTGAAGCCCCTCTTCACCATGCTGTTAAAAAATACTGAACAAGTGCTCCGGTATACCGACCTGTACCAAATTTGTCCCAACTGCAAGTGGTCACATAAAGAACAGAACTATTAAATGGATTAAGGAGGGCTGAACAGAGCTGGGACTCGCCTTTGGTGCCCATGGCTCAGGATGCTTACCGCTAGCATCTTGGCCCCAACTAGACCCTGAATGTGGGTTCACAGATCCAGGAAACCGTGTCCACAACTGTCTGAGCAGGATGCACAAAACAAGCAGCAGTGCCAGGAACAAGGGGGAGGCCTGTGAGAAGCACTGGTTTGGGGACACGGCCAAGCAGAGCCTGCTGCAGACACCTGGCGCATTTTCCCCACCACCCCTTCCTTGTAGTCCAGTCAAGTAAGTCTTTTAAATCCCCTAATTCTAACTTCCAAAAACCTCCACCTTGGGCTCAACCCAAATCTGTCCCATCCGAGCCCACTTTCCAGTCCATTTCCACAGCTCACAAATAATTGGTGGCATCCCCACATGAGGTGCTCATGGCCGAAGACAATGGTTAAGTTTCTTTCTGCTCTTCTTTGTTCTCTCTCCTACCCGGGGCTAGGAAGTGTTTTAAGTAGTTGTGCTACAGGAGAAAATAAACACTGTACCCCATAATTCATTCAGGTGCACGGACATAGAGACTAAAATGACCACTGAACTCATAAATGCGTCAAACAACAGATACCCAGGTTTGTATGTTGACACGCAGAAGTTATTTCCCTAAGTCTTCTCATGACTCCGCGCACTTGCATATAGTAAAATGCTGCAAAGGCATCAAAGCACACCCAGGGACCGCAGATCTCCTCTTCAGAAGTCATCACTACTCTACTTTTTGTTACGTGCAATTTGGAACTAAAAGAATGCCTCTGCACAGTGAGTGGCCTATAGATTAAGTGGCAAAGATGCTCTGGGAGAAGGTTCCGAATGACGGACTAGAACAAAAAGTCATCTTCTTCTAACCTGAACAGCTGTTATCTGTAACCCTTCAGGGCACAAACTGTTATCCATAACCCAGAAAAAATGGGCCCATTTGTCTAACATTATGAAATTAGGTTCTTATTCAGCAGTTTATGTCTCCCTGAAACATCTTGGGATCTGCTCTTGTTCACAAAATGACACCTAATTTGTTAAAAAAAAAAAAAAAATTAACACACAATTTGTTCAACTACTTGTTTATTTCAGAGAGTCTTTCACTCGCCACTAGCATTTCTCAGTTCTTGATGGTAGGCAAAGAAAGGGTCAGAGCTCTTTGGACTGCTTAGCAGTATTTAATTTCCGTGTTTAGAAAATAAAGTTAAGTCCTGAGCTCCAGATATGCATTGATGAGTACAAGGTCAGGTGACCCTTCACTTGCCACCACCCAAGTCAGGAACTCTTAATGAGGGGAGAATGGGAGGGTGCAGGGTGCCCAAGGAAAAAAGACCTCCGAGAGGAGGATTTTAGAATATGTGAGTGGGGGTCAGATAAAAAATTATATGTGGCTCCCTCCTGTACATTTGCAGTCAGCAAACTATGGGCCAAATCTAGCCCTTCACCTGTTTTTGTAATTAAGGCTTTGCTGGAACACAGCCATGTTTGTTTGGTTTCATTTTGTCCATGACTGCTTTTACAATAGCAGAGGGGGGCACAGATGTTGCAGAGACCCTATGGCCCACAAAGTCAAAACTATTTACTATCTGGCCCTCAACAGGTATTTCCTGAGGATCTTTACTCAGTGAGCTACTATTACTAAATAATGTATCCTTTTCCGCAAGTCTGTCTTTTTCCTCAGGGCTATAATAGCAAAGTTTACCTTTGGTTGCTAGTAACAAAGATCTAAAAACAATGGCTTCAACAAGACACTTGTCTCTCACATAAAAGTCCAGGGCTGAACTGACACTCCGGTGCCAGAGACCCAGGCTGTACTCGACATGACTTCCATTGCCAAGGTCACACCATGGTCCAAAATGGGTGCCAGAGTACCAGCCATTACGTTCACATCCAAGTAGCAGGAAGGAAAAAGGACAGCCTCGACCTAACTTTTCAGGGAAACTTTTGGAAATACCTAAACACTTCTACTTATAAATCATTAGCTAGACTTGGCCACATAGATACACCTAGTTATAGTGCTGCTTAGATAAAAAATCAAAGTTACATTATATTTTAAATGAGGGACTGGATATTGAGAGATAATTAGCAATCTCTGCCACAGGAACCTTACTCCAACCACCAAGTCCCTTATTAAGATAGGTGCACACTCTGAGCAGACTAATCATTTGGCATAGCTCCAGAATAATTGGCCTTAAATATCTGTTTAACATTTATTTAAAAGATGGTAAGATCAGTGCAGATAAAAAGTATTTTTTTGGTTGGTTGGTTGTTTTCAAATTTCCAAGCAAAAGTACGGTCTCCTCTGGAAGCAACTGGACAAATCCTACTTTCATAAGTTAGTATGTGGTTGTGTGTATAGATCTGCATCAATAGAGCATTCCTATATAGTCCAGTGATTTTTTTTTTTAAATGGAATATCTGCCTGCCTGGTGTGTTCGTGGTCAAAGGACCCCAACACTACCTCATTCTCACAGAATTTCTCCAATTAGCATGCCCATTCTGCATTTACTCTCACTACTGCAGATCACCTTCAAGTCAGATAAAAACGATATTTACCCCGCCCCCAAACCACACTTACTCCCACATCCAGGCAACAACATCTCCCTCTAACCTTTAAGATCTGATCATCTCCAACCAGAAAGGGCTACTCCTCTAACTTTTGACACTGATGATATGAGAGTAGAGGTAGGGCTAAGGCAACGGCAGGAAGCAAAGCTTGAGAAGTATAAAATTAGGAATAGATTCTGAATCCTTGATACCCATGGGTTGTCTACATATTAAACAACAATGGGGAAAAAATAACAAGTCATGTCCTTTTGGTATCTCAGTTAACATTGAACAATCAGTCTTAGTCCTACACTTTCCCTCTTCTTCAAAAGTAAGTAACTGGAATTTCACTATCAACATGGAAATTCCTGGAAATTTCTCTCTCACAGAATAGTCCTGGACTGAATGGGTATTCCATCATGTCAAAAACCCGGGCTGCTCCATATATACTGTTTCTGTAAAGTTAGGGCACAGATATCATCTGCAAACTCCAAAATAATTTAAAGGCTGCCAAAAGCAGCTCAAAGCAAGTAGAAGCTAATGAGAAGATGTGAAGGAAAGAAACAGAAACAGTGGCATTTCTCAGAAAATACTAGCAAAGACGTATTTCTCAGAGCTGAGGGTTATAATCTGAAGTTCAAAATCTTTATCACCGATAAGTATTGAAACTGAAGTAAACAAAGGCGAATCTTTTGTTTGTAAGAAGAGAAGATTTGGGGTGGGATGCAGAACTATACAAGGAATCAATGAGATGAATGAGCCATATTCAAAGAAAGACTTATTTCTTGGCACTGGAGAAGATAAAAGCCTTAGGGTGGTGAAAACAACTAGCCAGAATGATCACCCTAGCCCCTACCTGCCATGTCAACCCCCACCCTCACACCTCAACTTTGTGCACATAGCTGGTTCAGAAAATCCAATACCATTCAAATACAAGTAACAAAAAGGCAAATCATATGCATACCACAGGTACATCAATTTAAAAACTGGGGGAAAAAATAAGGAAGATGAAAGAAAAACTTTTTAACAAAGAAGTCATAGGAAAAAAAAGGTTGCCCCTGGATCGTAAGAAATTGTTGGGCAAATATCTTGCAATTGATTTTTTAAAACCAAATGAAGCAATTCCTCTATGAAGTAAAACTACAAAGAACAAATAATTCAGAGAGTAGAAGGCAAGAAAACAGGAGGAACTGAAATGTGAGCTCGCAGAACTCATACAAGGGGGAAAAACAAAGTAATCGAAGATGGAAATGGAATGTGAGCAAGGAAGAAGAGACTGCAGAAAACAGTAAGGGACAGAGAAGGTAGCAATGAGAAAAGCATTCAAAATGAAGTGTAAATAAAGAGTTTTAAAACATTAGAGAGAAAGTAATAGGTAGAGAAGTCACATAAAGGAGAGCCTACTCATGCAGAACTGGAATTCCGGAAGAATGAAACAGAACAATGGATCAGAACAAATCCTTAATGATATAACTCAAGAAAACTTTTCTAAAACCAAAGTAGAGTCAAATCTGATTAGTGTAAGACTACAGCGCACACATACACACACACACACACACACACACACACACCAGGAAGACAGGCCAACACTGAGATGGATCCTGATAAGGTTATTAAACTTTATCCTAGAACCTAATACAGCTTTTGGCATGCGGCAAGTGCTTAATAAATATTCACTGAGAGACTGACAAAACAGCTTTTTCTCCACAAACCCCTGTTTCTGCCACATGTCCTCTGTTCCTGGGATGTGATATGGTAAGAAATCACTTCTAAAAACAATACTGAAAAACTCTAAGATCTTTAAAACATTCTGTCTCACCTATTTACTAAGACAGGAAAGATTAAACTTGCATTTTAGAAAGATTTTCAGAAAGGACTGATATAAAAGTCTTTTCTGATTAAGTATATATTCACTATAAATTCTGGAGATATTCTGTCTCATATGCATTGAGTTTCAGCAAAATTTTATTATATATTTCCATAAGCCATTTGTCACATAGAGACAAAAAAAGGATAAAATCAGAAAGTTTTTTACTTACTTTGGATGTTCAAACTTGTCTATCAGATCAACTTTTTCCACCAGGTCTCCTCCAATTGTTCGTACTAAGTCATAGAAATCGTTTTCTGTATAATTCTCAGAGGGCAACCAGAATGAGATGTCATTTATCACAGCAGGGTATTTGCTAAAAGGCTAACAAAACAAGAGGAGAAAACATAGATTGATTTGTTAGTTGGATGAGAGAATGTTTAAATTTTTCATGGGAAGTTACACTTGGCTAATTAGAAAATGCTGGTAAAACATTATTTCAGCACTTGAATTTTCAGGAACAAAATGAACTTAAAAGATAAGCCAATATTCAAAATTAGCAAATTCCATTACGAATGTTACAGATTCTTATTACATTCATGTGTAACACTACCATATATTATATTTATATAACCATTAATGTTCAATTTAGTATAAAGCAATTTGAATATATCATATTTCAGTTTTTTCCTCTGAATACTAGAGGAGAAAAAGTTCAAATTTAATTAACAAGCAATTCATTAACTTCCTGTGTTATTTTCAGGAAGTCATTTTAATAGAGAAATAAGTAAAGGCTTGTCAAAATTGATATTTCAATTGGTAATGTCATTATTTGTTAGTATTTCTAATTATTAAAATAAAGGACTGGGATGATAAGTAGTCACTTAGGGAGTTATTTTTCAAATTATGGCTCTAAGGATAGATAAACACAAATGTAGCCAATTCCCCCACTTTATCCCATTTTCCCTAGTTTATTCAATCTCATCCTTATATTGGATAGACACTTAAAATTAGATACTTTTAAAAGTTACTGCCTTTGTTTACGTGGCTTATATACATATAAATATATATATAATAAATGTTTGTAAGTTACTGCCACAATAAAAAATGTTTCATTATATAACTATGAAGTCCTCAGGGGACATGTGCTAAAGTATAAATAAATCTGGTAGAAGAGCAAATTTATAAACTGGTTTACACCAAGCCTGATATCACTATAAACCCTTTGGTGAATCACTGATCAGAAAAAGTGTAACTTTTTAAATGACAAAACCTCTGAAGAACCAAATACTCAAATAAAAAATGATTATTCAACTTGAAATATCAATAAAGTTGTCAGACAAATGCATCAGTTCAAAACAGACATTTCAAATGAACATAATAAAGCTACCATCTAGGTGCTTCTGACAAAATACCATGGCTCCTGAAAAATATGTTTTGTTTTATCTCCTACAGTAAAGTCAAGATCCTGTGATAAATCATCCATAGGTTAATGTAACAACACATACAGGAGTACAGTGGTTACACCAGTAGCTTTTCCCTTGGACAACATCCTTTCGCCCCTTCAGGAACATGGAAATTTAGGGAGATTGGATAAAAGGCTGGGATTGCCAAGAATTCGCATGCAATGGCCCTCTTTAGTCGACCCAAGCTGAGGTACCGCTGAGCTCTGATGACAGACATGGGAGGTGTCCAACTGAGCATTTGTGTCCGCAACCCATTGACAACAGTAAACATGATAATAACAAAATAATGCTGTTAGCCAGAATTGAGGTCCCCAAGACATTAAAAAGTGCATTTTACAGTAAATTACAGTTTTAAAAACCAGGAAGAAAAGCCCAGACTGTTGCACGGCAAACTAGTTCAACCTAACAAATTATATATAACAAGTTTAAAGTAATGGTTTATCTAAAGGAAGCATTCACTATACTAACTGGTATGTGACAGAAATGGATACCTACTAGAGACTTCTGCTTTTTTGAGGGGGAAAATAAAAGTTTGTTTTGAAAGGATAACTACAGATCTATAGCTACTGGAATGTAGGCTTTCTGATGCTTAGCCAGAGGTGGTATTAAAAACTATCCAGTGGCTTCCCATTGATCTTAGGATAAGTCCCCAATTCTTGGAAAGTTCTAGCTCTTTATGTTCTCCAGGCTCACACCAGCCTGGCTATTTGGTTTCTTGAACACACTATGCGGCTTCCTCCAGATACTGTTTCCTGCCGTCCCTACCCTACTTCTGCTCCTCAGCTACCACGTTCACCTCTAACCCTCACAGACTCCAGCAGTCCCTTGTTATGGCAGCCTATACTTCTCTTTCATAGTACCTTTCGTTATTGTAATTGTTTGTGTAATTACTTACTTAATGTCTGTCTTTCCAGTATATTTCAATTTTTGAGGGTGGGGTGTGTATCTTTTTTTTTTTAACTTCCAAATCTCTATTACCCTGCACAGTCCCCGTGACATGGTAGGTATTCATCAAGAGCACATAAGGCTACCTTGTGTGAGCAATGGCTACGTTACAATGAATCAATTTAGCTGTTCTTTCTTCTCTAACCAGACCAGCTAATGGACATGGCAGGTAAATAAGACATAGACACTTGCCTCCATCCCTGGCTATGCTGTGATACGGAGATAGTGACCATGTGGAATGACAAAGAAGAGGCGGACAGGCAAAGTGATTTGGTAGGGACTTGATAATCCACAATCACAGAACAAGGTAATTTTAGAATTGGAAAAAAACCCTGTTAACCTAAATAAAGAGGTAAACTGAGGCAAGCTCGAATTACCAGAAACTGAGTTCATTCAGGAAAAGCAGAGGAACTGCACTTCGGAAAATGCATGCTGCAGGCAAGTCCATTGAAGGCTTGGGGCAGCTGTATTAATGGGAACGAGTGCCCAGAGAAGGCAGGCCAGCCAGAGTTCAAACAGTGAGTTCACTGGCTGGAGGATAGTGAGAGATTCTTAGCAGATGTTCATTGGTCAGATGAGTCTCAGTCCACTGTAAATCAGGCATTTATAGGGAATCAGTCTCTCCATTTTCAAGTTCCATTATTCTGAGGGAGCATGCGTGAGATTCTCTGTTCCATATCTTCCGGTTCCATTTTCTAATGAAATCCCTTCACAGCCCTTAAATAGCGTTTGGTATTATTTTTGTTTTCTCATTTCTTTTCTTGATCTAGATGAGCAATGTCTATTTTATTCATCTTATCAAATAACCATGAATTGATTTGTTCTTTTGAGATCATCTCTATAATTCTCGTTTTTTTTTTTTTTTAGAATTGAAGAGGTGATCAAAACTACAGTCATAGTAGAGACTTTAAAAGTCAAAATATATATGAACAATTTAGTAACAATGAGTTTGAAAACTTGGATTAAATGATAATTTTCACTTAAGACAAAATTTAAACTGATTGGCACTGTACCAAATTGATTTATCAGTCAAATCTCACACCAAAAGTGTTAGACTCAGATAGTTCATAGTATAACTTTATCAAATATTTCAGGTGAAGCAGTATCTTTAACACACTATTTCATGAAACAGAAAAGGAGGGAAAAATCAACTAATTTCATGAGTTTATAAATTTTAAGCCAGAGCTGGATAATCACAGAATAATTTTTAAAAATTGTAGACCAATTTCACCTTACAACCTACATAAAAATCCTAAAAGTAACTTCGGCAAATACAATTCAACAGCATATTAACATAAGAACACAAAATGACCAAGTAGGGTTTATTCCAGAATAACGGGAATGCTTTGAAACCAAAAAACAATCTACTAATCAACATATAAAGAAAAAAAATCATGTTTTTTTTTCAGAGACAGGAAGTATTTGATAAATATAATACTTATTCATTATAAGAAAAAAGAGGTTTTTTGGCCAACTATAAATAGAAGGCAACATCCTTCCTTCCAAGATATTTATTGAAAACCTATAGCAAACATACTAAAGTTAAAGTTTTTTAGAAGCATTCGAAATAAAGTCAAGAACAACATAAGGATACCCTCTCTCACCCTTGCTCTGTCACATTATAAATCCTAACCCAAGGCAGGAAACAGGAAAAGCTATTGGAATGGAATAAGGCAAAATTTGTGATCCTCATGTGAATCTTCCTTACTAACTATATGACTTGGACAAACTGCTTAATCTCTGTTTTCAGTTTCCTCATCTGAAAAATGGAGGATTATTAGTATTTACCTCATATAATAATTGCTATTTCATATATATCAATATACACAAAATATACAAGAGTTAACGTGAATGAACTAGAGGTACATATATCACTATGGCTGAAATACAAAAAAGTATATGTTGAGTTTTTAAAAAGTTGTATTAAGTTGTATTAAGATGTATTCACTATACAAAGTTTAAAAACAGGTATGACAATAATACATATGTACAAATAAATTGTATAAATTGTATTAAAACAGATGTGGGAAGGCTATACTGGACTTCAAAACAATGATTAACTCTGGGGAAGGAAGGAAAATATTCAAGAAGGGATTTTGCCTTTACCTTTAAGATGCAAAAGAGTTAAGGTTCAACCGTGAATTCTGCAGCAAATGCACTGAGTGAGCTCCGCATGGCTTGGGATATAGGCGGGTGGCACACCCCAGTTAGTGAGGTCAGCCCAACTCAGACTTTATTCCCTTCATGAACACTGAGGCTAAACACCCTTGTAATCCCCCCTTCTTATCAGAGAGTAGCAAAAAATGCCACCCACAAACATGTCACTTTGGTATAAGGTTTACTTTGAGCTCAAAGCAACTAAAAAGAAGCTGAGACAAGAAAAGCTCTCAGCTCCGGGGCCAACACAACACAAGCACACAGTTTGCCTAAGAGCAGGACAAAAAAACTTGCAAAGGTGCCTCATCTCCCCTCTCCAATCACTGGAGACAAGCTAGACCCTTATCAGCCCAGAGATTACACCAGAAGGATCTACATATTGAACTTGACTAACGGCCCCACGTAACTTCCTTTAGTTTCCCATATATTTACCTTTCCACAATTGGCCCACACCCAGACTCGAGATTTTTTCTTTGCCTTGTTACTTCTCTAAAAATTTATTGCTCTTTTGCTAAGCTGCTCTATAAGCCCAATTACCAACCAAGCCTTGAGTTACTCTTCTCTCATAATCTGCGTGTTTCATGCATGATGCTCATGTTAATAAGGTTGTTTGTTCTAGTCTGTCTTTTGTGGCAGAGCACCAGATGACACCTAGAAGGGTAGAAAGAAAAATATTTTTTCCTCCCCCTGCAGTATCCTTACATTTATTGCATTTTGGCTACCTCTAATGGGGTTGGAATAATATCCTTACTTTATTAGGTTGAGCTAATCCTGGGAATCCATAAATGTTTTTCACAGTTTGCCCTTTTGAAAACC